CGGGTCAAGAAGATCGATAACGTATCCCCCAGCTGTGGGAGTGAGTCCGATGATTATTGTCGTGTGCGATATCGAATTTCCATCGGGATCCGTCCCACTGATGGTGATGGAATCGCCCAGAGAGAACGTGCCACACGTTTCAAACGGGACCGTCACAGTAATGTTGACCGAATTGTTCGTGCCGTTCAAGAACTCTGGCGTGTACGGGTCCTTGCAGTCGTCGAAGTCGCCTTTGTCGACGAGGGGAGACGGGCAGGGCGTGCACTCGAGCGCACGGCGCCTGCGCACCTCGCCGCCCACGCACGGCTCGCAGCCGCAGGGGTTTGTCACGACGATGTACCCCTCGGGGCACTCATCGCAGGGCGTTGGGACCTCCGTCGGGCAGATGGACCCGTTCGTTGCATCGAAGATGATGTCCCACTCGGTGTAGTTGAGGCAGCCATCCCCGTCAAGGTCCCACACCGTCGGCCCGTAGGTTGCGGGCACCGTGGTGCAGTTTCCCATCAGCGGCTGCTGCATGTTGCACTCGTCCTGGGTAATGCAGGTGTTGGCGTCCAGGTCGTACCCGTCGAAGCAGGACGACTTGTGACACTGGCAGGGTACTCCAGGAAGGTCCATAGTGTACGTCGGCTCGGGCGTCGGCTCGGCCGTCGGCGCTGGCGTCGCCAGCGTCGGAGCCGGTGTCGGATCGGGGACAGGTTGCGGCCGCCCCTGCACGCGCTCCTCCGGGAGCTCCTCCTTCGCCATGCGCTTGGCCCCCTCCCTGTGGGCCTTGCGCTGGGCCACGGCCCTCTCCTTGCGGCTGAGCCGCTTGCCCTCGGCCTCCTCGTGCTCGGCCTCTTTCGCCTTGCCCTCGGCCTCCCCCTGCGCCGCACTCTTGGCCAGCTCCTTGGGGCCCTCCGCGGCCTTCGCGGCGGCCTCCTTCCTGTGGGCCCTGCGCGCGGCCACCGCCCTCTCCTTTCGGCTGAGCTGCTTGCCGCCGGCCTCGCCCTGCGCCGCGCTCTGGGCCAGCTCCCCGGGGTCCCCTACGATCTTCATGGCGGCTGCCGCCCGCAGCAGCACGGCCCCGAGCAGAGCGCTGCGAACCATCATGCTGGGCATGCTGCCTCGGCTTGCCAACCTGGAACTGGAGGGGGCGGATACGGTAGTGGTGGTCGCGACTGCTGGACCAGAATTTCTTCAGCAATGGCTACGGAGGTGCTCATCTCCAGCTTCTGGACTGTCGCCGTCGCAATTGCAACACTGGTCCCGCCGAGCAGCGCAGGCTAAAGCAAGCTAAGGCAAGCTGAAGCAAGCTGAAGCACGCTAGAGCAAGCAGGATGAAAATGCGACTTGGAGGGAGAGAGGGAAAGACAGAAGGAAGGAGAGCAAGGGGGAAGGAAGACGGAGCGAGACGCCTTGACCGTATCTTGCCTTTGCTCGCTTCCCCTCCCCAAGTGCAGAAACGGGGCGTCCTCGAAAGGCGAGGCGCCCGCCCAGGGCTGAGCAACGCAGAGGTCCTGCGCGGCACAAGGGGTCGGCAACCAGGGGGGGGCCACGGTGAACCTTGGAGCACCTACGGTCGGGAACTTTTGCTTAGCGTGTCGTGGCGGCGGCCCCGGCGACACGCTGTGCCTTGCAAGAGGGGAGCGTGTCGCTCCGCTTCGCAGGGTGGGAGACGGGGAAAAGATTGGCACGTGGATGCCTTGGGACCACGAACTGGATAGCGTGTTGTCACGCCGAGGCGTGGTGGGCCAGAACAGGCGGAGCGACACGATAGGGAACAAGTCCCGACCGTAACTCCCCTCTCCCCTCCTCCCTCCACAATCCTTCGCCGGTCCCATCCAGGAGCGCATCCTGGCTATCACTTCGAAGGGAATCTGGCCGTCACCACGAAAGGCCTCCGTTAGAGGCCCAAAGGGTTAGGTCGGGCATGTCCTCCTGCAGATTTTGGACGAAAAAGAGTACATACGCCAAAACATATTCCATACTCCTAAAAAGTGATACCCAGGCTATTCCTTGACTATGTTTGAATATTCCTCCTGCAGAGGGACACGCCCGACTTGGCTCAAGTGGAGCAAACATCGCCCAAAGGACCTCGCGCTGGGCCAGACGGCGCCGGCGAGAAGCGCGAGGAGGCTGGGCCAGGAGGCTGCACGCGCCGGGCTCGCACGCGGGAGGAAAATATGGAGGAGGAGGACGAGGAGGAGGATGAGGAGGCCGAGGAGGAGGAGGAGGAGGAGAGGAGGAGAGGAGAGAAGGACGAGGAGGAGGAGGAGGAGGAGGAGGAGGAGGAGGAGGAGGAGGAGGAGGAGGAGGAGGAGGAGGAAGGGGCGAGGGCGACGGCGAGGACGAGGAGGGAGACGACGAGATTTCGAATCGCGAAGTTCGAGCTTCATCCCGACGTCCCTTAAATCGCTCCGCGAGGCGCGGTCAGCTTCGAGGCCCCGCGCGCGGCCTCCCCTGGAGGAGGACCCTCCTGCGGGGCGACCTTGGGGAGCACCCTCAGCCAAGGAAGGCCAATAGATAGCCTTACGAAACAAAAACCAGCGATACCCCGGGGTATCCGGTGGGGAGGAGGCAGGTGACGGCCGATGATCTCCCCGGTTCGCTTTGGGCAGCCCCACGCATGCCCGCTTGCACCAATACTGCGTACCCCCTTCGGCCTTGTGCAACCGACAAGGCCAAGTTATCCAGGGGGTGGGAGGTCAGGCGGCAGGCGGGCCCGATACCTCGGGTGATCGCCGGACCCTGAACAAGAACACTCTCGGGGAGCACCCTGCGCGGGGAAGGACAGGCGACGAGTTCAAAGGGTGAGGGAAACCAAAGGGGCGGGATCGATCAGCATCGAACCAGAAAATCTGGTCGGATCGGAACGACCGTCGTATCGGGCGGCATCGGCACGGAGTCGGAATCGAATCGGGTCGGCTACGCCAAGATGCACAACAACGGAATGCAAACATCGGGCCGCACGCCGGAATTAGTATCGAATCGGATGGATCAGGTCGAGATGGACCCTGAGGGGACACCATGGAGGTATGCCTTGGGATCCAGAGAACCTGCCCTAGAGGAGAGGCCAAGCAGGTGGAAGTAGAATTGGGGAGATCTCGGGGGGTAGCGGTATCACAGAGCAAGGGAGGCTGAACTCAAGGGCGTGGAGTCAGACAGAAGCCCGGCATATGAAACCACCACCCCCTGTGGTACCTGGGGCCTGGAGGGGACATTGACGGTACAGATCCCACTGGTCCCTGGGGGAAGGGTCCGCCTCTTCCCCATCACCACACGCTGGATCACTTTCACACTCGCCTGTGAACTGGACGTGACCGGCAATTTGGCACAGTGGCTGCCCCTAGCGATACGGACGGACGCGGACGGACGATACCCAGTTGTGCGGGCCTCGAGATTCGAAGGCTTGGGCCTTTCGAGGGGGGCCCTCTTGGGGCTCCCTGTTGCTCCTATTCGGGGGGCCATTGGGGCTTCTATTGAGCTCTGTAGAACCCCCTCTCAGGCTCCGATCGGGCCATCTCAAGACCTTCTTCAGGCCTCAGAGGCCCATCGGGAACCGAAACGGCGAGAAGGCCCTTATCAGTGAACAATGCTTAGGTCTTTCGCCCTCAGAGATCTATGTAGGGCCTGTCCCCCTACAGGCCGATTTTCGATGAAATATTAAACATAGCCAAAGCATATTCAAAAATGATCAAACGTTATTGTGCTTCGAGCGATCCCCACCGAAACCTTCGGCGTTCGGTTCCAACGGTGCGCGCGCCTACTGGAAGGAGGTGCGCAGTGCCCGGCGTTGCTGTATTCAAAAGCGTTGGACAGTACTACATGGAGACACTCTGTAACATGTTATGCTCTGTTATGTCTATGTGTGCTCGCGACGGGTCGGCGTGACGTCGTGACGCCTGGGCGACACCGTCGAGGTGTGGCTACTGGATACGTGATGTTGTGCTAAAGTGTGTGTGTGTGTGTGTTAGGATTATGCCCCGATGTAGACTGTAACGCTGTGTTCTCTGATGTTATGATATCGACGGGCCGGCGTGACGTCATGACGCGTGTCACGTTAAAGACATCGTCGTATCGCTCATTGATGTGACTCTTGACTCCTGTGGCGACGCTGACCAACATGCACGTTCGGTATATTATGTTACGATGTCCCTCTGCCCTTCCGTTATCTCATTCGTGAAAATATGCTCTGTCATGCACGCTTATGCCTCAATATGATTTGGTACGTTATGTTAAACTCTGCCCCTTGGCACCATATTAGAACATGACATGTCCTCCCACCTTATGTTATAATGTGGTATATTCCGTGATGGTGCTGCCGGCTCGATTCAACATCGTAAAATATGATATTGCATGTTAGTATGTGTTGCTATGTCCTGTTCTGTCGTGGTACTGTACTCGTCTCCACTGCACTACTGCCGTTTCTGTATTCAAAAACGGTTCAACCGTTTTCCGTGGATGGATCTAGTAACGATCTTTCATGTTATGCTCTAGAATTCTCCTCTTTTGTTGTCGGCGGGCTGGCGTGACGGCGTGACGCCTGTGACGTTAGATGCGTCGTCTGTTGTGATGCCCCTCGTCACCTGTATGTTTCTCTTATGGTTGAATGTGCTATGTTATGCTCACATATGTCACAATATGGTTGGAGGTGCTATGGTATGACTTGCGTTGCGGCACTATGTTATTGCAGGATATGCTGACAGCCTATGTTACAGTATGCTTTGTTCCATTATGCTGTTGACGGCTCGGCTCAATACATTATGGTATGATCTGCTCTGCTAGTGTGTTTCACAACGCTCTGGTGCCGTGTTATGATATGTTATGTGATTATGTGCCATGATATGATGTGTCGTGCCATGATGTGTTATGTGACGCTCGGTTATATTATGGTATGTTGTGGTGTGTAGTCTTCTGCTCTGTCATGCTATGCTCTGGTATGTTATGCGATGTTGTGTTTGCGGACGGCTCGGCACAGTATCATATATTATGACCTGCTATGTTAGTATGTGGCAATATGCTATACGGTCGTGTTATGCTATGCTCTGCGGTGAAGTGCAATGATATGTGATGTTCTGCCAAGGTGTCTTATGTGTTCCTCGGTTATGCTCTGTAATGTTGTGTTATGTCGCCTGCTGTTCGACCATGGTATGATATGATGTGTTATGTGATGCTATAGCATGCTCTTTTTGTCATGATATTGCTTTGCTATGCTCTGTCATGTTGTGGCATGCTCGTGTTATGTCATCGTCTGGTGTGACATGCGGTGTTCTGGCAAATTCGCCGCTATGCTCTGCTGTCGTCTTGTGATATGCGTGATGACGTTGCGTCATGATATGATAGGCTATGCCAATGTGTCTTATGGTATGCTCGACTCGGTTATAGTATGTTGTGTTATGTCGTTTTCTGTTATGCCATGTTCTGCTCTGGTATGGTGTGTGATATGATAGTGTCCTCTATGTTGTCCTGATACTGCTTTGCTATGTTCTGCCATGTTCTGTCATGCTCTTGCTCTGGTCTGTCATGTTCTCTTGTGGCATATTGTGTTCTGTCGTGTTTGTCGGAGGTGCGAGGCGGGATACCCGGGATTCTCGGGACAACTTGGGGTCTGGCGGCCACGGCATGCAGGGTGTGTTCCGTCGTGTTTGTCGAGGCGCGAGGCGGGATAACCGGGACACTCGGGACAACTTAGGGTCTGGGGGCCGCGGTATGCAGGGTGTGTTCCGTCATGTTTGTCGAGGGCGCGAGGCGGGATAACCGGGACACTCGGGACAACTTGGGGTCTGGCGGCCGCGGTATGCAGGGTGGGAGTGGCCGGGAAGTCTGTTCGTAAAATCTAACGACCTCAACCTGTCCGGTGGGGAAATACTAAAACATCGTCACCTGACTATTTTTTGACTATCTTTGAACCTTCCCCCTGTAGAGGGAGGTGCCCGACACAAATCTATGGGTAACGAGGGCCATACTGGAGGCCACCTGAAAGCCAACATGTTTCACCTGGCGCCATCTCGGTGGCCTGCCTAGCTTGAGGTCGGGCGTGCCCCCCTACAGGGGGAATGCTCAAAAATAGTCCAGAAATAGTCGAGGGACAATTTTTAGAGCATGTATTAACCATTTTTTTTTTTTTTTTTTTTTTTATAATTTTCATTTTTCATCCATAATCCGCCTGTAGGGGGACATGCCCGACCTAAGCCTAGCTTTGTCCTGCCTGAGTCGGGCCAAGGCGGGGCCGCGGGAGCACCGCTGGCAGGACTTGGAACGCTGGGAGTGGTGGAATCACGAAAACGGCAACACTTTCCTCCCCTCGCCAGGTGGTCTGGATGTGGCTGGCAATCGGCTGCGGTGGCCGCCCCTTGCCAACCACGGAGAGGGACACGGGCCATGGGACGTGTGTGGCAACTCTTCTCGGCCATGTCCTGTTTGGATCCTCGAGGGCCCATGATGAGGCAATCATGGGCCGTCTTGGAGCCATGTAGCAGGCTTCAGAAGAATCAGTGCCATCAGAAGCTTGGAAGGCGAGGAAGCATTACAAAACCGCGGAAGCACTGTAACCTGAACCGTCTTGGCCTCCCAGGAACCCTTGAGACGCGTTGGGGGGGACCTCGACGCCTGGTTGGGGACGTCTGAGCCCACCTGGATCAATCCTGGAGGCCGCCTTGGGTCAACTTGGGCCCTTTCGAATGCTGCTGAAAGCTTGCCGCTCCTCAGTATCATGCTCTGTCCAATCGGGGACGGGGCCGCGGGCGCGCTGGTCCTTCGATCCGATGTAGGTCGAATGACCGGCGCGCCCGCGGATCACCAGTTGGTTCGGGTCGCTAGGAATGGTTGCCCTGTTGGCATGAGGGCAGCCGCCCCTGGGGTCCCGACATCGCCCCCCAGCTCGTAGCCGAGGACTCCGTTCTCGTCTCTGAGGCCAGAGGTGCAGGGAATCAACCGGACCTTGTAGCATGCAAAGTGTTCGACAAAGTTTGGCATCCAAGGAGGCCACTAAAGAACCAGCGAACATTTTCTGGCATCACTGCTCCGATGTTTCGAGAAAGGTCGTGAGACGGCCGGCGGTGCCGCCAAGACGGTCTCAACGAAGTCTGCAAGACGACAGAGAAACCTCCAAAGGCACCCAAGAGGCCTCACCGAAGAGGGCGGCACTCAAGACGGCCCAGGAAGCCTTCAAGAAGCCTCTAAGATGCTCCCAACTACGTGCCTAGCGGGCCCGACTCCACACTTCCAGGACCCCCCCCAAAACAAGAGGCTACTAAGATGGCCGTTAAAGGCCACATGAAGCCTGCGAGAGACAACTATCCAGAAAGGCCACCAAAGAGCTTCGCGAGGCCCTCCAGAAGGGTACCACACTCTATTCTTCGTGGCGTGGCTTTCTTCCGCTCTTCGCACCCTGTACTCGACCAGCGCACTCCGCCCTGCGTCTCACCCTCGCTCTGCCCTTCGCTCGGCCAGGGCACACCGGACCATACCACACGAGGCAACCCACAGAAAAACGTCCCTCGCGAGCTGTCCCTTAGGCAGCCGGTCTGTCAATGGGGTCGGAAGCCTGGCGTGAGCCCTTCTGGGCCCTGCATCGGCGACCCGCGGCCCGTGGTCTCCCGTCTGGCCTCCCGCATGGTCTCCCGTATGTGTGTGTGTGTGTGTGTGCTCCCGTGCGGTCTCCCGCGGGGTCTCCCGTGGCCCGCGGTGCCCGGCCCGCTCTCTGGCAGGGTTCCCCGCAAGCTCCCCGGTGTGATGGGCCTGATTTCCACCACTGCCACCATAAGTTGGAGGGGGGAAGGAGGTGGAGGATTAGGAGGAGGGGGAAGAGGAGGAGGAAGAAGAGGAGGACACCCTCCCCCTCCTACTTATGGTGGTGACGGTGGAAACCAGGCCCATCACGGTAAGATCTCCGGCAGGATCTCCCGTGTGCTCTGCAGTGTGCTCTCCCAAATGCTCGCTAGCATGCTCTCCCGTATGGTCCCCGTATGCCGTATGCTCTCCCGTGTGTGCAGTGCCATCGGATAATATTCAGTTCTGCAAACCCAGACCCCCTGGGCAATGAAACAAAAACATGACGGGAGGCTTTTCGCTATTTGCGGCCTCTGGGGGCCCTTACCGGCCCTCGGGACCGTCCCAAAACGACTCAGGCTGAAAAACTGGTCCAGGGGATTGGGTCGAGACCTCCAGGGGTCGACGTAATTCAAAAAATGCCGTCGGGGGTCTGGGGTGTGGGGTCTCCTGGCGTCAGGGTGTGACTTTACGACGCGAGGAGATCGGGGGACTGCAAAGGGCCGACCAGACCAGGCCAGCCCAGATAGGACCCAATCATGCCAGGGCCCCAGGGCAGCAGCCCAAGCATCTGCAGAGGGAGAAGAAGAAGAGGTGCCTAGATGGCTACAATCACGACTACCGCCGCAGATCCCTGCACAGGGAGGACCCGGCGGGGCTGTGGCACCGTGGTCCTGTCACCATTTAACTCCAGGACACCCGTGCAGCACAGCCAGACTCCTGCCAGCAGTGGCGGGACCAAGAGAGCCCCAGGGGGGGTCCTGCACCAGCTTCTTCGCCCACTCCTCGCCAGCTGGGAGCGAGGGGCAGATGACGGCAGTGGCCTCGGCGCAGCTCTGACAGCGGGGCCCCGCCTCTTCCGTTCGTTCTTTCTTCCTCTGGAGTAGGGCAAGCGGTCGAAGCCCCGCTGGGAGGGAGGGAGTCGAGCTGGCCCGAGGGCGCTTCGAGGTGCCCTGCAGCTGAAGCCTACGCGACATGGGAAGTGCACAGAGAGGGCAACAACTCACACCGAGGCCCACCTGCGACGATGCCGAGAGAAGCCAAGAAAGAGCGGGGGCGGCGGCAGCGGAACAGTGGTGGCGGCAGCCGTCGACCAAAGTACTCGAGCTCCCTGTTTAACTCCACATGCCAAACCCTTCAACGTCTGGCGCCGACATACAGGAAGCAGCCTGATCCTCCTCCTCCTCCTCCTCCTCCTCCTCCTCTTCCTCCTCCTCCTCCTCCTCTCCCGCCTCTTCCTCCTCCTCCTCCTCCTCATCCTCCTCATCCCTCCTCCTCCTCTTCCTCCTCCTCTTCCTCCTCCTCCTCCTCCAACTCCTCCTCTTCCTCCTCCTCCTCCACCTCCTCCTCCTCCAACTCCTCCTCCTCCTCCTCCTTCTCCTCCTCCTCCTCATCTTGCTCCTCCTCCTCCACCTCCTCCTCCTGCTCCTCCTCTTGCTCCTCCTCCTGCTCCTCCTCTTCCTCCTGCTCCTCCTCTTTCTCCTCTTTCTCCTCCTCCTCATCCACCTCCTCCCTGCTCCTCCTCCTCCTGCTCCTCCTCCTCCTGCTTCTTTTCCTCCTCCTCCTCCTCCTCCTCCTCCTCCAAATTCGCGTCCCCCTCGTTGAGGATCGGAGACCTAGGCTCGTGGAAGTGTTTGGCCGATGCCTCGGGGCCTCCGCAAGACCCCGCGGACCTCCGCGGGCACCTGGGAAACAAGACTCTAGAAGCACTGGGGTCATCACGAACCTCTGGGCACCTCCATCCACCCAACCTACATTCCTCCCTCCGTCTTTATTCCTCCTCATCCTTCTTCTCCTTCTCGTCCTCCTCCTCCTCCTCCTCATCCCTCCTTCTCCTGCTCCCTCTTTCTGCTCCCTCCTCCTCCTCCTCCTCCTCCTCCTCCTCCTCCTCCTCCTCCTCCTCCTCCTCCTCCTCCCTCTTGTCCTGCTCCTCCTCCTCCTCCTCCTCATCCTCTTCCTCCTCCTCCATCCCTCCCTCCGTCTCTCCTCCCCCTCATGCTTCCTCCTCCTTCTTCTCCTCCTCCTCCTTCTTCTCTTACTCCCACTTCTCCTCCTCCATTCCTCCTTCACCTCCTGTTTCACTATTCCCCTCCTCCTCCTCCTCCACCCACCCGCCGCCTACCTCCTCCTGCCACTGGTTCCTCCTCCTCTTCCTCCTCCTCCTCCTCGTCCACATCCTTGTCCTGCCCTCGTCCTCCTCTTGCATCCTGAGGAAGAGGGCCTGCAGAAAGAACCCGGAGCCCCTTCCGAAAACAAGCTCGACTCCTGAACCCAAGGCTTGGACTGCACCCCCCCTGCGAGTCCCGCCCCCCCAACATGCGCCGCCAAGCTCCAGAGCAGACGCTGCAGCAGCCCACCCACCCCTGCAGAGGCAGCGGCCCACAGCGTGGCGCTGACTATGTCGCGCTGCAGCTTGGCGCAGCACTCCGCGGCTAGGCTGCGGATCAGGAGCCGGCACAGGGCCAGGTGGACGACCCTGCCGCAAAGGGTCGCAGGCGCGGCCCAAGGGGCGAGGGCAGAGGGTCGGAGGGGGAAGAGGTACCGATGCCGCCGCCCTTCAGGCGTTTGAGGATCGAGGCCTCCTGCCCCCTGCTCCAAATCATCCATGTTCTCTTCCTCCTCTACCTCGCTTTTGAAGACTATGCCTTGAAGGAATGAGATCCTCCTCCAAATCCTCCTTTCTCCCCTCCTCTTCCTAAACGTCGGCGCATCATCCCCCTCCTTCTCCTCCGTATCTCACGTAGATCGTGATCTTCGCCTTCGAAAATTTCTCGCAGCGGCGTCTTTCACATATTTGAACTACGTTGACCCTTCAGAAGCGTCCTCGCATCCACGGCTGGATTCGCTCCGAAATCCGAATCAGAATGCACCTCTCAAAAGGTCTGGGACCAATGGTACCCGTATGTTTTTGTGTCCCCGGGCCACCAAGAGAGCCCTGAGAGGGGGAACACAAATCGACATTTCGAGCCCTCCGCCCAAGAGGACCACGCAGACAGCCAGCAGGCCCCCGAGAGACCTCAAAGATCCAAGTCAGGCCCCTAGAGGCCTCCAGTAGGCCCTTACGTCATCCCAAAACCACCTCCAAGAGGCGCCTCCCGAGAGATCCCCACAGGCATCCAATAGGCCTACATAAAAATCGCGTTGGCGGCATGGGCCGAAGGCCACTAGATCCGCCGCCCCCTGGTGATTCACGTAGATCCATGCGTGCTCAACTTTTGAAAGGTTCTGGCTGTTTTCTGACGAACTCCTAGTTGGCTTCGGCCCAAACCGCTGGCCACCTGGAAAGCTTCCAAATCCCAATAGCCCTCTCGGTGTGAGTGATTTAGGGCGTTTCCTCTTCCAACCCCCTTCTTCCCCTTCGGGGAGAGGTTCATCACCGTTCCCTATGCATAAACACCCCCTCCCCCAGGCGACCGGCAGGCAACCAGGACCACTGCAACTCCCACCCGGGTCAAAATCTTGGGTCATGCCCGTGGGCCCCGCGAGCAATCTTTATTTGTTTCTTGACCAGGACGGCGCGGGTGCCCTCGTATTGCCTGCTTCGCGCAAGGTCACCACCCCTGTCAAAAAACAAAACAACATCCACCTTGCGGCTAAATCTGAATCATGCGCGGCCACCCCGCGATCACTGTCCATTGGTGTTTGACTAGGACCGTCGGGGTGCTGGCACATTGCCTGCTGTGTGCAGACCCAAAAGACTCTATGATGGGAGAGAGCGTGATCCACCGCCGCTTCCTCTTCCTCTGGAAACCAGGATCCCTCCCCCCTCCTTCAAAAATCCCCCCCCCTCCCCTGCTGGACCCCCCCCCTTCCCCCCGGCAAACCCCCACCACCTAACCCCTCCCCCCCCCTCCTCCAGAAAACCAAGGGGGGGTCACTACCGGTTCGAACCCCCCGACCCCCTTTTCAGAAAACCGGGGGGGGTCACTACTGGTTCGACCCCCCCCTCTTTCGAAAACCGATGGGGGGTCACTCTCGGTTCGACCCTCCCCTCCCACACTCACTGCCGGCAAACGACTCCAGGGTCCCTACCACCGTTCGCACTACAGCCCCCTGGCTGCTGGTCGCCTGGGGGAGGGGGCGTTATCAACAGGGGACAATGGTAAACCCCTTTACAACACATAAGCAGCACCCAGGCCTCAGCATGTTCAGAGCTTGTCTATGGATGTGCTGCTACTGGGAATGAATACATGGGGGACCCCATGTGCGCGATGGGGCGAGGTGCGCCACGCGTGCCAGGCGCTCTGGTTGCGCCAGGCACTCCTTGGGCCCAAGCGTGCCGGGCACGCCTCGCGCGCCAGATACGCCACGCGTTCCACGTGCGCCCTGTGAGCCGCGCCATGTGCGCCACGTCCGGGGCACGCGCAGAATGTGCCAGGTGCGCCCGTGCACGTGACAGCACACATCGGGAAACATGTCGGCCCCCACTACCGTTGTAGAAAACCAATGCGCAATCGCGGCGAGTTGGCCATCATAGCATAGAAAGAGCGTGTTCCACCGCTGCTGGCGAAAAACCGAGGGGGGGTCACTGGGGGTTCCCAACCCGTCCCCCCCCCCCCCCCCTCGAAAACCGGGGGGGCACTACCAGTTCGAACCTCCCCCCCCCGTCCATCATGAAAAGGGGGGGTCGCTACTGGTTCGACCCCCCCACCCCACCCTCGAAAACCGCGGGGGGCCACTACCAGTTCGAGCCCCCCACACACACACACTCACTCACCACGGGCAAACGACTCCTGGGTCCCCACCAC